AACTCAAAAGGGAGTGGAAGTGGAAATTAATTGTAACTATTTATTATAATGTAATTATTTTGTATGTTAATTTATTTCTATATAATTCTTTATTATGATCGAATAATTAATAGACACATTTTCTAAGTATAAATAAAGAAGAAATTAGGCAGGATTCTGGTACTTAATTTCGAATGACCTTTGCAAGTTAAGAGGAAACGTGGTACATTATTTGCAGTTCGAAATTTTCATAATATGTCATTCCGAAGCGTTTAATTTTATTCATATATTGAATCTGTTTCTAGCACTTCCATTGAACCCAAATCCAAAAATCAGGAGTAATATTAAGCTTGAAATTGAATTTATGTATGTGAATGATTTTTACAATTTAATATAACATGTATCGCGTTGGTTCACTACAAACGGCGTATCACTTTTCAAATTGTTGCTACCAAGTAATTTCACCCTGTATTATTTTTAAAGAAATTAAATAAGTAAGAATCTGAATGTTTCTCGCTCTATGATGAAACAATGTTATCTAGAATGTTTGAATGTATGGTTCGTACAATGTAAAAAATGACACTGCAGGCGCACCAGGAGGCAGGGTATTGAGATGGAAAATTTTTGGATTTAGAAGTATGGAACATTCCCAAAAAAATTATTCACTTTCGTTCGAATAAAAAATTTAAAAAAAAAACTAAAATTTAATTGATCAAAAAATTAAATTCTACGAAAATAGTACACAAAGTAAATTTTAGTGCACAAGCGTTTGATTTTTCTTTCATTATATAATGAGGACTCTTTTTTTTTTTTTTTTTTTTTTTTTTATTTTGTAAGATTTTAAAGTTATACGATACAATGCATATTTCACTTTTTTCTGGGGTTCCCCGTTGTTTATGTGCATACCTGAGCTAAAGCCTCATTTTTTAACTCCAAAGGAATGTATTTTAAAGCTGAACGATAAAGGATACAGTTAGTTGCTACAGAGAAATTGCCTTAAGTGAAAAGGACAAACAAACATCTGCAGACATCGAAATTTCTAAGCAGTGAAATTGCGATAAATATGCATTTTTAAAAATTATTCATAATAAATAACTTTGAATTTTTAAGTTGCATTTTATTTATTGAAAAAGAGGAAGGGGAAAAAAGATTTTTTTAAACCGATTATCCTATTTTGTATGTATTAATTTTGCAGTTAGTCTGATTTTAAATAGTCTGAGAGTAATGGTGGACCAATTAGCCAGGCTGTGAAAGATTTTTCTTTAAGTTTAAATTACATTTTATTGTTAATCAGTTTCAAATCCATGGGAATTTTATTTTACCATTATCGGGTAATTTCATGCTTGAAAGAGTAGAGCAAAACTTGCTTCTTATCTTCCTCTTTAATTTTAAATTATTAGCGCAAAGGAGCGTTAACTCAGAAAGGCTATTAATTTCGTTTTGGCATTTTGCGTCGATTCACGATAAGCGTTGCTACACTTTTCAGTTGTTGCCGCCAAATATTATCGCCCTGTATTGTATTTAAAGAAATTAAATAATGAAGAATCTGCACGAATGTATGTACGAGTTTGTTTCCCGCACTGTGAAAAAACAAAGGTGCCCAGAGACTTCAAATTTTGAATAACGTAGTCATTCAAAATTTCAAATTCAAAATTCTCTTCACTCAAATATAAGCATCTGGAATCTTGAATTTGGAATTTGTTTTATTATCCATTTCATATTTTGTAACACTTATACGAATTTTTGATTAACAAACTCAACGATTTCACAGCGAGCAATGGCAGCAATGTACGGGGAAAAAAAAAAAAAAAAAAATTCCACCGCAAGAGACTGTTTATCGGAAATCCTAAAGATATGCTATTTTAAATATTTTGCGATATTGCTGTTGGATTTAATTTTATGGTTTAAGTGCGAAGAACATGATATTTAATAAATAAGGGTAACACGCAAAACTTTAAAAAAATGCCCCTTCGGGCGTAATACAAAATTTAAAAACTTTCAAACTTTTGTTTTTTTTTTTAATTAATTAATTTGGAACATGGTTAAATTCATATAAATTTTATTTCACCGTTGTTCGACTACCCTACAAAAGCTAAATTTAGCAAGTTATCGCCAAATGTGCAGTTGTGCGTATGAAGTAGCGCAAACGGTGGCATAGCAAATGCGGTCAAGAGCAGGAGACTGACGTTAATTACGGAAGGGGAAAGTAAACGGCTGTGTCAGGGATCATAAGGGGAGATATATTTAAAACAAAAATTGTTTTTAGGTCTCATTCAGTATCAGTATATCAGAAATAAATGATGCACATGGTATCAGAATGGAGACAAATTACATAAGATACGAAAAGTTATATTTATTTGTTTATTAACATTTCATTATTACATTGTTTTCGTTCAGGAATTTCCTTCCACCCCCCTCTGAGCAATACATACAGGTACATGTAAGTCGGCTGAAAAGCACTGCTATAAACAAATAATTCTCCCAATTCCAGTTGAACAGCGCTTATTAATACTAATTGTTTACGGAAAGCATCCTAGTTTTTAAAAAGCTTCGTATCATCTAACATAAAATTAATTAATTAATTATCTTAAGAATGATTTTGTGTTCAATATGGCAAAACATATGAGGGTGGCTAGGCATGATTTCATGGAGAATTTTCTAAGGAAAATGGGCTCATATTTACATACCTTAAGGAAATCCACAAAAATGCTTACACAAAGTGGTACGTTGCAGTAGGGTTCCTTCAATCCATCTGTTAAATTTGCATCTAATTGCCAAGTGCTCCCATCTGTTAAATTTGCATCTAATTGTCAAGTGCTCAATTTTTTTGGCTAGTTTATACATTCAAAGGAAAATACAAGTTACTCACTGAACTTCGCACGTTAGTCTGAATAACCTTTAAACCCGATGAACAGTATATTTCTGTGACAAGGCGAGCTTTCTGACTGTACAATCTGTTTTACATTTAGCGAGCTTGTGCCGAATAAGTTTATTCGCTATTTTATGTAATTTTTGCAATATTTTGTAATTCTTTTATTTTTTTCATTTCAATTTTATTTTTTTAAAGATAGTTTCTTTTTATTCACAAATATTTATATTTTCTATTTTTCTAGTAAGTGAAACATTTAATTAGATTCTGATATTTTGTTTTCATAAGATAAAGTACGAAACCTTTGTTAAAAATTTCATTGCTCACTGCAGTTCAGTGACCGTATTTTAATGTGCTATTTTATTCGCGAGTCCGTTCATCCGATTTGAAACTTGGAAATGAATTAACAAATCGATCTTTCCATTCAATTGGTCCTATCGACTTGAATATAGTGAGCCTGAGTAAACGGGAAATATCTTTCGTAAATATAAAAACCATTATAAGCGCATTTCTAAATAATAATTTTAAAATATAATTTTGACAGCTGTTTGACGCTGCTTTCAAAAGATTTCTTAATTATAAATATAAATATATATACTGAAAATTACGAAGAGAATAACACATACGTATCTGTTATTACGAGAATAAGTATTTCTAATGTATGCAATAGGGCTTGAAAAATTTGGATACATAAATGTTTTTTCTTCAACTAAATTTAAGAATTTATTGACTGTCGGGATCTATTCTCACCGGCAAATGATAACATCCTGGGTTCAAATCACATGCAGAATCTTTTAATATGATTAATGAAATTTTGTTTAACAAATTCAAATTTTCTTGTTATCTATTAAACAATTTTAAGTATTTGAAAACATCAGAATTGTAGTATAAGATCCTCACTGTGAAATTCACCATTTTCTACATTCATGTCCTGTGTGGGTGTTGGACAACTGTCATTATTCTGTGTACTAAGTGAAAATGGTCAGCTAGCTAACGTGGAAATATGCGGGTTCTGAGAACTGTCCCTTTCGACCTCCAGTCTCTCCTAACGGAAACTTACGTGATTGTGACTTAATAGTCCAAGTCTTTGTGACGTCAAAGATGTTACGGACAGAGTCCGAGTAACGATTGGTTTCCAAGGAGGGTTTATTGCATTCTGTCTTCATCCCCTGTCTTACACTCGCCCCTACATTTCTGGAGTTGTTCTTGAACGTTGCGTGGATTCGTAGAGTGTCTTGGAAAATAGATGGAAATTATTCAAACTTCAAAAGGCAAAGAATGCCTACTATATGAAGGACATCAGTATCGAAGATACAGGACAAATCAAAGTAATTCGATTACTTGCCTGAATGAAAAGAAATTGAAATGCAGAGGAAGGATTATAACAAAAGATGCAGAAATAATAAGACTCTCACGCCATGAATGCAGTCCAAACATTGCAAAATGTGAAGCAATGAAAGGTACTTTCAACGCTAAGAAACGTGCTGAAAATGAAACAATATCCATTAAAAAAATTTATGAGGAAGAATTTAGTCCACTTTATCAAAAGGGCAATGAGTTTATAAGAGCTGTGCCAATGTTTTCTTCAATAAAGAACACTCTTTATCGATCTAGACATACTGCCCAGGGCCAGATTGCTGAGCCGAAAAATGCAAAAGAAATTATTCTTCATGAAGAATTATTAAAAATGGCAGATGGAGAAAGCTTTCTTTTAGCCGACAATTTAAGTGATACCAGAATCCTTGTGTTTGCAAGTAAGAACGGAAGAAGAATCATGGAGAGATTCAATACATTTTTCATGGATGGCACTTTTAAAAGCTGCCCAAAGCAATTTCATCAGCTATTTACTATCCATGCCGATCTTGGGAGCACCCGTGAAGAAACAAATATTTTTCCCGTTGCATTTGCTCTCCTTCCAAATAAAAGGAAGGAGACTTATGAAAGACTCTTCCATATGATATGTGAAGCAATTCCACATTGGAATCCTTCATTAATTATGACTGATTTTGAAGAAGCAGTCATTTTAGCTCTCAGAACTGTATTTCCTTCCGCTAAAAATGCAGGATGTAACTATCACTTTAATCAGTGTTTATGAAGGAAAATACAAGATTTAGGTTTAGTGAAGAAATACAAAGAAAACGATGAAATTAAAATGCATCTGCGGATGTGCGCAGCGCTTGCGTTTTTAAAACTGGAAGATGTGGACGATGGATGGCTTCTGATACAGGAATATTCGCCAGAAGACCCCAAACTTCAAGAGTTTTATGATTATTTCGTAAATCAGTGGATGGACAATGCATTAGTCACAATAGAAATGTGGAACTGTAATAACAGACGGCATAGAACAAATAATGCCGTTGAGGGCTGGAATAACAAATTAAACCATGCTTTAATGAAGCATCATCCTACAGTACGCACGCTAGTGGCAACTCTGAAAAAGGAGGCGGAATATAGTGATTTTTTGATTTGCAGGAAAGAACTCAAACTTGTAGGAAAAAGGAGAAGGAAAAATTATATTAGGATTGATGAAAGAATTGAAAAATGCTTCATCGAATACGAATTAACTAAAGATTTAAGAAAATTCTTAAGGACAGTAGCTGTTTTGCAGAAATTTGAATGAATTTACGATTAATGCTCTTCTGTTTTCTTTCACCTTTATTTTTTTTTTTTTATTCTACCCGTAGATTGCTTTGTAAATCTTTTATATTTCCTCGATTTTATACATGTTTATTGTAATAATGTGTACAAAGTTATTTTTTAATAATGTAATTTTGTAAATAAAGTAAAAAGATAAAAAAATGCTTTTAAACACGCCAGAGCGATTTATGTTCTGCCAGTCCTAAGCCTGGATAAAGTGTGAAGGAAAGCTTTTAAAATTCTGTGAAACTGAGAAATATCTTTTAAGTAATTTCTTACTGTCATAAATTTTATTCGATTGTGAAAATCAATTTTGACTTTTAGAGATGTGCAAAACACTTGCTGTTTCGTTTCACATTATACTGTGTTAAAGTACTATATCATGAAGTATTCATCTATATCGCAAATTACGAGTTGCGTTCTTTGAGTATAAGCTGTTTAATTTATCTTTCAAACTATACAACGCATTGTTTTTCATTTCGTTTAAAAACAAATACAGATACTTCTTATATATATTACCTGGTGAAATTTTCCCAAATATCAGGAAACAATTGTTTTTATTTCTTTTGTTCTTTCATATTATAAATAGTTTATTGCTTATCAGTACAAAAACTGAGGTAATTAATAAATACGCTTTTTTAATAAAATAGTACATAAACGTATCAGTGTAATAGATTGCTAAATATCCATATCATTACCGTAATTAATGAAAGCCATTTTAAACCAAAATAGGATTTGCATTAGTAAATTATAGTTAAGAATAATGGCCCCCATTGTTCTGATTATTACTGGAATAATTTAAAGATGAAATCCGATAGTATCTTAAGATGTTTTTGCAGTTGGAAAAACAAGAATATAACTCATTTTGATTCACTTTTCTTTTCTTTATGAATGACGAATATCTGTTTGCCATACACGTGATCAAATAGTGAATAAGTGTTTAATCCGTAAGATTATAAGTATTGATTACATTTCATATATATAACTACTTCTAATTGAGGCTTTCTAAGAGCAACCCCCTTAATTTTGACTCGCAGCTTTTAATTTTAGACTAAAATATGAGCATAGAATCTACCTTTAAACAATGGGATTTTTTTTTTAAACACTGTGGCATGAGAGTGCCTAGTAATAATAGTTTTAGCGTCGCTAAGAATCATTTTCTGGATTCTCATATTGATTTTTTTCCAAAAGATATTAAAAGCTGCAATTGACAAGTATGAGCAATGCATAATACATACATATATAACGTAAGCATACCATAAAGAAAAATGAACCCCTAACAAAAGCTGATCGACTGCTATTGAACTCTAAAGAGGGGTTTATCAGAGGGAAAATGGCAATTAAAATCAATTAAAATTCCATTTAATTGATTTTAATTATTTATTTACTGTATCGATTTATTACTTATTGTAATGGATTGGAATATTTGAATATGAATTAGCTGAATATTTAAGAAAAATATTATGACTGCGAGAATAGGAAAAAAAAACATTTTTTGAATATTTACTTTCTTATAGAATGCAGATGAATTCATTTTTACTCAACGAAAATCAAAAAAATTTCAAGTAAGCTTAAATTAATCTGATCCTGTAATCGAGCACAGAAAGTGAAGTAATTCCGTAGAATATTTTCTAACTCTTTATGATTAAATTGCACTCAATTATACTTTATAAACGACATGTAAATACTATTTAATGTATATGTGTGGATGTGTGTGTGTGGTGGGGGGGGGGCTCACTAGCGGCTGAGCTGTAAAGTCGTTGAACTCTGGCAGGTCGATCCGGGGTTCGAATCCGGATCGACGGGGATGGCTGTATTGGCGTTTTCGAGGTTTTCCCCACGTGTAACGTGCATAAGAGTCAGTTTTGCTTAGAAAGTTCTCCACGAGGCACCCTTACCCTTAGGCAAATAACCGTCGAATGCTTTGCTATAATCAAACAAACCAGACCAAACATACATTATCGTATATCATTTCATTGTCAAATGCATTCATTCGAAGAATCAATGTATTTCCCTTAAAAACGAAGTGAGAGTTAGATGTTTAAACGACCCAATTTTTCAAGAGCAGAGCAGATTATCCCCATTTTCGCCCCCGGGAAAAAGGGTTCTAAATTTACGACCTGACCGCATATGGGTGTATTTCTTTGGAATATGTATTGTTGAAATTAAGGGTAAAAAAATCTGATAAGTATAATTAAAAGAATTATTCCCCTTACATTTTATAATAACTCAGTTACAAGTTTTAAATAATATTAAAAAAATCCTTATTTTATTCTCTTTCAGAAATATTCAGAGAAAGTTAAGTACTCGTACTATTTAAAGTATTTCGCTATTAAAATAAAAGGTGCTCTAATTTGAAATGGACCGAACAGAGCATTAATTATAAATTGACTTATATTTTTCGATTTAAAAAATGCCTCAGAAGCTAAAAAATCATGTCATATTTGAGAAAGTATTTTAGGAAGAAGCTCTATAAATAGAAAAGAAATAATGCATAATTTTAATATTAATAATACAATAAACTTTGATCTTAATTTTTGTAATCCTTAACCGAATAAAATCGAATTACCCTTAAAATTTCTTTCTAATGTAATTAACAAAAACTTGTGAAAATATTTCATTCAAATTAAACCATACTGAGCAAACTGTTGTGTGAAAAGTATAGCATTTAGTTCCGTTTAGAATGAAATGTTGTTTAAAAATGTATTCTTTTCATATACTTAGGAAGTATTGTAGAAAAAGAAAATATATACATTTATATGCACATTTACTTCGTAATTACAAAATATTTACATCCGATCGTGTCAAAACCCATTGAACTTAATTGTAAATTACCTAATGTTTTGGTCACCAATGAAGGGATCGAAAGTGCTTCAAAGCAGGGTATGGGAAAAACCGGTTTAGGGACACTCCATTTAACTTCCTACCTCCATCAGAAATTCAGGGGGATTTTCCGCCTCGTAGCCATGGGAACGAGCTGCAGCGGACGTTAACAGTGATCTAATTTTTCTTTACACATCCTTTAACGTGTTTTGCATCGAGAAAAGCGCACAAATGAAGGCTGAATTGAACTACAATCTCAGATGAGGTGGACAGAATAAGTGCTGTGCGATGATGACGACAAACGTTACAAAATGGAGAGAATGGAGAGAGCTAGTAACGGCCTTGAAGCGCCTATTGTAACAGTGTCAAATAATAGTTGGGAAAAAAAAAGTATAATATTATTTCATATAACATTAATGCTACATAAAATCTTGGATACTTGTTTATTAAAAAAAAAGACCTTAATTATTCAAGAAGCAGCATATGCTTTTTTCTAGATCTGGGGTTCTCAACGGGGTCGACAAAATTTTAAGGGTGTCAGTAATGATCCAGGTGTCGATAGCCGTTTGCATTGGCAATTCATTGGTGTAATCAAGATTCCATTGATTACAAAAAATTATTAATAAAATTGATTATTAATTATTCCATTGATATAAAGATGTATCATACAGTAAGAAAAGAATTAGAAAATAAATATTAAGGAAAAATGTATTTTAATTATTTAATATATTTCAAAAATCAATAATTTTTTTAAAATATATTCTTTTTCTTTTTTAAGCAACAGGTGCAATATAAGAAAGCAAAAATGCAAGAATACTAGAAACCGCAATTACATAAGCACGATAAACGCAAAACTAGATAGAAAACAAGAAACTGGTTGAATATTTTTGAACGAGGTGATTTATAAATTAAATTAAGTACTTTTACGCAAAATACTAAAACAAAAAATTGCATCATTACATATATCACAGTCATCACATTTATTAAAATCGAACTTTTATGCTATTGTTCATTTGCGTTTGCGAAAAATATTTTTTCTTAAAAATAAGGCAATATTATTGCTGCGTGCGTGCCGGTTCGTAATAGATTGAATGCACACAAAACCGATGAGAGCTTGATAAAATTTTATAGTTCTGGAACTTTTCACAAAAATACTCGTACAGCTCTTCACAGTATCACAGATTATACTTCACAGTATTTCAGCAGTTAGACTTCAAACTCTGAAAACATTAAACATAACACAATGCAAAGCGCATTTAAAGAGCGAACATTACACAGAGATACCTTAGTACTCCGAAGTTACGCTGAACTAAATAACTGCAACTGGTGCTCTCTCCTGTCTTATGTAGTTTTCTCCCAGCCGCCAAGATATTTCCAGTATCCTCCACTTCTGGAAATTACTGGATGCTGTATGAGAGCCGAATACGGTTACAACTACATACAGGATCAATCACAATTATTCAGTTACAATACCCACTCCATTATACATGAAGCGGACTCAAATGTTGGCAAGCTTGGCGACTTTTGGCGTTTCTCGCCAAACAGACAGCTTGGCGATATCTCGCCAATTTATCCAGATAGCCATTAATTGAATGTTAAATAAACTTGCCCCTGTATTCTTACTTTTCCGGCACGATTTCGTTTCTTTAAATATTCAGCTATTATAAAAAAAAAAAAAAAATGCTACAATTTCATTAAAATTATTTATATATGATCAAAATTCGTAATATCATTTTGTCAAGACATCAAATGCTCAAACTGAAAATAACAAACACTTCTTTGAAGCCATAGAAAAAAAAAAAAAAACTTCCATAAAATGAGATCATATATGGTTCTTTCACTTTTGTGGTTGAATTAGAATAATCTGAAAGTAACGGCTTCCTCCCCCCGGAGAAAAAAAATGTGAAAACAACTAGAGGACAAGACTATACAAGTGGCTTGTTGAGTAATGTTCGAGTGGTGCTATTGTTAGAGATGGTGAGTTAAAATAGCTGCTGAAAGACTGGCTGAACTTATGAGCTAAACTTCAAGGAAATGATGGATAGCTATGCAATTTTCGAAAGCTCCATGGCACTGTTTATATAAGATACTGAGGCCCACACTTCGTCACGTGGAATTTTTTTAGAAATTATATAAAACATCTGTGAAGAAATATAACAA